GAGAAGGGAGCTTGAAGGGTAAAGAGTGGGGGCACCAAGGCCTTTGCAGAAGTTACGGGAGGGAAAGGGTGAGGCCAGACAGCGGCACAGCGGTGAGATATGACGGACACTGCGAGGCTGACCCCGAGGGGAGGTTCCAGGGTCACCTCCAGAGACCTCCTAGAGTGTACCCAGCACACATGTGCCTGTGGTCTGGGACTGGCTGAGACTGGGGTGTTGCCACATCAAGACCTGTGGCGGTGCAGTCTCTCTGTCTCTCACTCATGGAAGAAATGATTAAATAAACTTAAGAAAAACAAAGGGTGTGGGCCAGCTGGTGGCTTGGTGTTAAGGTGGATGGGTCCCACATGGCTGACTGTGCAGTTCGGGGCTCAGACCTGTTGACTTGAAACACGCACTGGACGTGTGGGCAAAATCCCAGGAGAATGGAGAGCAGCAGGGCTAGCCCCCGGGGTGGCTTTCTCACTTTCCTTCTCACGTGCCCTGTGGCAAATTGTTTATAAAAGGGTGAAAAATGGGCGTTGCTGACCTAACCCTCCCTGCCCCCTCCTAGGCTTCTCTCCAGTTCGGCAGTAGTGGACAAACTGGCCATGGATCCACTCTCAGAGCTGCAGGACGACCTGACTTTGGATGACACCAGCCAGGCTCTGAACCAGCTGAAGCTTGCCTCCATCGATGAGAAGAACTGGCCCTCAGATGAAATGCCGGATTTCCCCAAGTCAGGTAGGCATGGCTAAGGGCAGCCTTAGCGAGAGACCCCAGCAGGGCAGGGTGGGACAGATGGGCCAGCCCCAGGGGCCAGCCGGGAGCTCATCAGGGGAGGCAAAGAGAAATATCCCAGGGACTGTGCGTACCAGCCCCGAGTTACGCCCTGACGCTATTGTGTCCCCCAGATGACTCCAAAAGCAGCTCCCCAGAGCCTGTCACACACCTGAAGTGGGATGACCCTTACTACGACATCGCCAGGCACCAGATTGTGGAGGTGGCAGGTGAGCACGCCCGCACTGTACCTTTCTCCTCCAGTCTGCACTCCTGGCTTAAAGAAGCCAGCCCCTCACACCTGGGGAAGGGGGACACACCTGGCACCTGATCCCTGATCCCTGACAGGGACCATTCTTGGAAAGCACGGGCTTGATTGTGATCCCCTCCCCCCAGCGTTTTCGCCTGCAGCCGCTTCCTGGCCTGACCCCACTGTATCCATTTGCAGATGCTATGCAGGAGGCGGTATAGCCTAGTGGCTTTGGAGTCAGGAGATTCCTGACCACTCTCACCTTCACTGGGTCACTGAGAAGGTTACGGTAATGAATGTCCGTCAGGGCCCAGCCCAGAGCTAGAATGTCATTGGCCCTGCTAAGTGACTTCTCCTGTCCTGCACTCCATTCTCCTGCCTTTCCTTGCCCTGATGGCAGCTTTTCCACCCCAGCAGGTACTGGGGAGGAGGGGGAGGCCAGTCCCTCCTGGGAAACCCAGCCTTCAAGGGAGGCTGGAATGAGCAAGGCCTCCTTCCAGAAGTGAAGGGCCGCATGGCTCCCGGAACATTCCTGGCAGACGTGCTGCCTGCTGATACTGGATGTGGAACCCCCAGGCATCTCTGCCTCAGGAGGCTCCCTCTAACTGGTCAAAAGGCGCA